GTGAAAGCTCTCGATTCCTAATCCGATTCGATGAGAGCTGTACACATACGAGTAAAACCGCCTAAAGAACTGAATACTTCAATTTACATTTTTATCATATTTTGTGTTGTTGTTTTTGTTGTTGTTGTCTTCATATAAGTTTCCAATTTTCGTTTCGATATTTTTCTTTTCCATCAACATAAATATCAATTTTTGTTTTCATTTCATTGTTTTTTTTTTTGTTCATATTTTTTTTGTAATAAAATATCCGATTCGTTTTCAATTATCGTTTAACCAATTTTTTTTACGCATTTAATCATAAAAACATGTAAAACAATTTGTTTTTCCTTTTTTTTTTTTGGTGTGTGAAATTTTTCTATATAAAATACATATCTTTTTTGTTTTGAATGTGAATTATTCAATTCCTTAGAGCTCGTGATTTGATTTAAGTGTCTGTCTGTCTGTCTGCGCCATGCACCACATGTTTGATGGTTATGTGCTGTGCAACGGCTACGCAGATACACTTTACACAATTAAAAAGAAAAAACAGAAAATCAAATAGAGTTTGTTATTTGGAAAAAAATTTGGTTTTGAATTTGATACATCTAGTAAGATCTACTCGTAAATGTATAAATTGAATATAATTAAATAAGCCGAAAAATAGAAAGAGCCGAAATATGTGTATGAATTATGTGTTGTTCAATTTGTCAATATTTATATATTTTGATAAAATCCGAAATTCAGTGATCTGACATTGAGATTCCGATTGAATTCAGCCTCTTGTTGGCATTGGCTGCTTGTGATTTGACATGTTATCCCTTTCTTTTCATCTCTTTCTCTCTCGCTTTTGCTCTTACTCTTTCGCTCTGTTTGTCTGGATGATATCTTTTTGGGGCAAAACACATACGTGTGAGTGTGTGTGTGTGTGCTTTGCCCATGTCAAAACCAAACATGCGTTGTTTCATTTACCGTTAAAAAGAAATACCTTCCAATTGGTTTCCCGGATGGTGAATGGAAATATGGGAACGACGGAAAGCATTCTTTCTTGCAGAAAATATGACTCGAATGCATTAATCTTACAAACTAGCGCTATAATAATGAATTTTTTTATAATTTTTTTTTTGGGTTATTCCAAACATGCAATATCTCTAAATTTTTTATACTTTTATCCAAATACATGATTAATTTAGTAATATTTATATTAGTTTTTTTTTTGGTTTTGTTTTGTTTAGCTTTGACAAAAAAAATTCTCTTTTTTTTATTTTTTTGTTTTTACGCAAATGGATTTGCCGAAAGTATAGAAAAATCAATACATTGAGTAAAAAACGTTTACTTATTTAATGAGAAATATTATGCGAAAAATTGGGTTTGTATTTGGCCAAAGGTGTTTTTAATCGAAAAAAGAAACAACGCAAAAATTAATGGAAATATTACGATTTCAAATGGAATACGTAAAATTGCAAATCAAAAATGGTTTATTGAAAGAAATAACATCAAATTATAACTCATAAGTCCTAAATCATATTGAAAAAAATAAATTATCAATAAAAAAAATTCATCAATTTCTTGTCCAAAAATTCTAAACCTATAAGTTAAAACGTCTTCTTCATAACGAAAGAAAAAAGTGAAACAAATCAACAGATTTTCAAAAAAATCTAAACGAAAAAGGTTCGATAACGTTCAAAAATGATAAAGTGTCGCATATTTATCAAATGGAGTTTGTTTTCGTTTTCTGCATTTTCATCCGGTTTCTGTGCTTAGCCCAATGTCGCCTATTTCTTTCAAGACGATCTCTTGAGGAATGAGTTTCAACTGTTAAAATAAAAATGCCGTTTATTTTATTGATTCTTCTGTTCACTGTTTTAAGTCATGCGTTTGTTTTTGCATTTCTTTTTTGTGTGTGTGAAATTAACGAGAAAAAGAAACTTCTGTTTTTGACTTTTGTTTGTTTTTCATTTAGCTCTGTTGTATCCAATTCAGTTGCTTTGATTGATTATGTGTGTTTGGCTGTGTGTGTGTGTGTGTCTTTTTTCTTTCTGTTTTTTTTCCATTTAAATATATACGTAAAATATATATTTCATATGTATCTATTTTTTTATAAATAAAATTGGAATTTGTTCTATTGTAAATTTGTTAGGAAAATTCTATTTGGACGTTGCTGGTTCCTGCTTTTGTGTGTGTGTGTGTTTTGTGTGAATAAAAAGAAATTTATTTTTATTGTAAAATCTTGTTCGTTTTTCGTTCTTCATTTTCACATCAATTGCAAAGTGAAACAAAAACGTTTTTATGGAATCTGTGGAACTTAACGATTTCATGATATATTTTATCGTTCATTTTGTGTGTAGTTTAAAATTAATTGAAAAAATTCCAAATGGATTTTCGTGGGGTGTAGTTTTTCTCTTCTTTTTTTGTGTTTGATATTTAAAACAGAAAAAAATCTTCTTCGGACAGAAAAAAAAACTTTTTTCTAATCAAATATTGAGTTTCAAAAGTCATGATTGCAACGAGGATCAAACCATTTTTTTAGTTTCACATTTAAATGAAAGATTTGCCATTTACAATATGAAAAAAAGGTAAACAAATAACATATCTTGTTGGTAACAAACATGAATTAGCTTTGTTTGTTGTATCCTGTTGTGTTCGTAATTCTCGTATCATTTGTGCGGATGAGTTTGTTCTGTTTGTGTTTTATGTTTCGTGTCCATTGAACGAAATCCATCCGCTTGTTTTCTGTTTCATGTTTGCTTGTGCTTTTGTGGGAATGTTCTATTCCCCAAAATCATTTTGTTTGTGTGTGTGTTTTTTTCTATATTTCGATCAATTCACGCAATGAAAATTGGTTCGCTTTTCAAATTTTTCCACTTATCGCTCGCATCGTGAATATTGCCGTTTGATTTGTTGTTGTTGTTCTTTGTTTAATTGGTTGTTTAGAGATTGATTCTGTTCTGTTTGTTTGTTTGTTTTTTTTTTCAGTTGTGAAAACTAATTGTTGTTTGTTTTCGCATCTTATTTGCTGTTTTGTATCTCCCATTGTGCTATACCTCTTGATAATTGTAATAACATTCTTAAAAACATAATAACAAAATATATGTATTTATTCTAGCTGTTGTGATGAGTACATGATCAAGTTTGTGAGTGAGTGTGTGTATGTGCTGCGCTGTTGTGTTTGTGTATGTGTGCCGATCGTTGCCAATCGAACTGAAGGCACTATTTCTAAGGCGCACGATTGCAATCGTGTACGATCATTTTGAAATCGTCCATTGATCGATGCCTTGGAAATAGCAAATATACGATCTTGATCGATCTCCATATAAAAACAATCGTAGACGATTGAAAAAATCGTCCACCGATTTACAATCGTGCACGATTGCAATCGTTCGCCTTTGAAATAGTGCCTGAGGCAGAGACAAAATGTCATGCCATCACATTATGGATTACATGTGTAACCGGTCATTGCACTAATTCAAAGTTTACTTTTCATCAACTTTATTTTGTTCTGTTTCGATTGTATCATTTTGCTCGTTTTTTTCATCTTCTAATGGAAAATCATACAGATTTTCACACTGATCGTTGTTTGCTTGTTTGTTTTGCTTTTTTTCGGTTCATCTTGTTTGAAATTAAAGTTTCAATTCAACACTGTGTTAGTGTAAGCGATTTTAATAAGTAATAACTAAAGCATTTGTTTGTGTGTGTTTTTTCTTGTTCAAATAACGATACCAATGTAACAAAAATATCGAAAAACATAATCACTTCTAATAAAAAATATGTTTCCCACATGTCTGTGTCTGTGTGGATTGCGCCGTCGAGTGTGCACGGTACGCGCACACTGCGCGGTGTGTCAAAGAAACACGGCCATTTCAAATTATCTATATCATTTTTTTGTTGTTTTTCTCTTGTTTTTTTCTTCTTCTTCTCTTTCTTCTTGGTTTGTTTGTGTAAATGTCAACAGAATCCTTATTTGACTATTGTTTTTCTTGTTTTTTTTTTCATTTTCTTCTTTCATTTATACAAACGGTGCTTCGATTTTTAAATTAACCTAGGTTATTGAATCACGGCACATCACATTGTGCGATGCACCGTGACGGTTTTTTTTTTGCTGTTTTGTTAGTATCATTGTTTATCTATGGCATTTTGAGAGGAACTTTAGTTGTTGTTGTTGTTGTTGTTGTGTTACTGTTTATTGTAAAATTGAGTCGATTTGTTGTTTATGAATAGTTTATTTCATTTATTGCGATGAAAAAAGAACTAAAAAAATCTTCTTAAAATTCAATAAGTTCTATTGTTGTTTGTTGTTGCTTTTTTTTTGTATCGGTTTCTTTACAATACATAAAATATCTTGATGTTTAGTCAATTAGGTTGATTTTTTTTCTCCCTTTTTTCAATTTCATTTGTTGTGGGAGGGCATCATGTTGCACTTGCTTGTTGCCATGTCATGTTTGATTTGGGTGGAATTTAATTGAGATCGATAAGCAAGTGAATGGTTTTTGTTCGAGTAAGCGACTGTTGGTTTCGAAATGAGAGTGTGTAGAAAAACGTGTGGAGATTTGGTTGACTCGATGAATCATTGTGGTGTGATGCTCCTCCCACACAATGCAATGTGTTTTTTTTATTGATTCTGTTTGCTTTTTAATTACAAATTATTTAAGCGAAGGCAACTTGTGTATATTTAATTTAATTACATTGATTTATGACATTTGACATTTCCACATTCAACGGAAATTCCGCCACGCTAGTCAATCTCTCTCGACAAGAGGAAAACACTTGGAATTCGGAATCCGATTTGTCGGCTTCACTCAATTCTCACTCTTCGATTGACTGCGATGCATGAATCCGAATTCAAATGTACATTGTATGTGGCTGACAATCACACAGGAAACGAAATTACAACGAAACATTTTTTTTCTTTTGTGTGTCGGAGTGAGACAAAAATCCGCGTCTGATAAGAATTTTGAAAAAACCAATCGATATCGAATTGGTTGCCGGGTCTATTGCGTGTGAAATTTTACTATGGTTCCTGTTCATTTGTGTTTTTCTCTTCATTCTCTCATGTATTTCCATCATCATCTTCTTTACATTGTGTGTCAAATAAATCACATTGAATCGGTTGGTTTTATGCTGCTTAACTTCTCTCTGTTCATTCTCATCTTCGTCTCTCTCTCTTTTTTACACTATTTTAAAAAATATAACTTTAACTGTGCTTTTTTTTTACTTATAATTCTGATTTAATTTACACGATTTGGTGAATCGCGTGTATTGTTGTATTTGCTATTTTATTTGATACGATTGAGCGAAACATGGAAAATTTCATTGCGAACGTTTTCAAATGCGTTTTTTTCTTCTTCTTTTTTTTCAATTCTTCTTTTGTTTTTGTTTTGTTTAATGTTCAATGTTACCTATGTTCATTTCTGTTCTTCATCTTATATAAAAACGTAAACTTAGTGCTTTGGCACAACATGAATAAATCGAGGGAAAAATATAATAAAAGAACTATCGCTTCAACTAAAATGCAATTTAATCAAACGAAAAAAAAGAAAAACCATAAAATGAAATCGATTCGTAACAAATAAAAACATTCCATTAGTTTGGAGTGAGCAAAAATAAATCGATTGTTCAACAAAATTAGGAGAAATTGAGTAAAAAAAAATAAACATTCAAAGAAGATTGGTTGTGATTGGAATTATGTCTCAAGAAACGTGAGATTTTGATGCTGATCGTTTTAGCAGCAGGTCGTTCAATGGAATTTTCGTTTCTTGCCACCACCACGCTTGGATTGGCCCTTTGACTTTCGCTTTTTGCCTTTCGACAATCCACCCGATGCCGATCCGCTCAACGCACTGATATTACCAAAACTGGTGATCTCATCGCCGAGAGTGCCTGCAATACATGCCAGTTTTTTGTTAATAAATTATGAATAAAATGACAAAAGCTAGTCAAAAGTCAAGGGATCGATTGTATGTACCGAGTGTGGTGAGTTTCCTTTGGCGATGCTTTTCGGCTTTGGTGACAGGTAATCGTGTAAGATAGTTTTCTTCATACTCTTCCTTCTCTTTTTGTGCTCTGGTTAAGAGTTGCTGTGCGCGTGAACCTTCTGTTATCTCAGTAGGTGTATCCAAACATTCTTCTTTCAAATCTTGAATAATATTTGAACTGAAAATAGAGAAACAAAACCGAATTCAGACATTGAACGAAATTGCGAATGACATTGAATGTGATTTTATGAATGATCATTGGGAATTTATTCTTCTCCCTTTAAATCTGATTTATATGGTTCTTACTTCAAAGCTCGTTTTCTGGCACGTTCCATTTGTTTGCGGGCGCGTTCTGCTTTAGTGTCTTCACCATCATAATGAACAGCGCTCAGTTTTGGCGGTACATAAACGCCACCTTCTTTGGCTGAACCCGATTTTTTGACATTTTTACCGGATTTGGTAGTCTCTTCTTCTGAATCGTCATCACTGCTTTCGGCCGTGTCTCCGGTTTCGATTTGAGTAGTGAGAGCGCTCAAGTTTGGCTGTAAAATAAAATACATTTTCAGTGATGATTTTTTGGGTGATTTTTTAACTTTTCTTCTATGGTTTTGGATATTGTCCAATTTTTTGTATTTTTTTTCTTCTTTTTTTAGATTTTTGTTAGACTTTTGGTGTCTTTTTTTACTTTTCGTCTATTTTTTCATGTATTTTTCCTGAATATTACCTAACAATGTTCCAACAAATAAACAAAACCATGAATCTGAGCTTGATTTTTACCTTGAAATTGATTGGATCTTTGGAGTTGGTGACACCAGTAATGGCTGTTTTGACCAATTTATCGATTTGATAGCGCAATTTGTAGTCAATTGGGCGAATCTTCTCCAGTACAGTCCGAATTTCAATTAAACGATCAATTGATGGATCCCGTTCGATTTTTTTGCCTATTCGGTTGCAACGATATAAAAAAGATTGCTCAAAAGTTAGTTAAAAAAAACCACGAAATGCTTTTTTTTTGTCTAAAATTGATTCGGAATATTAAAATTACCTGAGCATTTTCGGAGGACCACGTAGGTAAGATTAATCAAATATGTCAATAGCATGTGATACCTAACCTCTAGAAAACTAAGCCCATATTCGGTTGTGAGTTCACCACTTTTGACGCGTTGCAACATGCTCTCGACCAAGTCTGAAACTTGTTTTACATTATTATTCATCTCACCGAGCAGTTTCATTGCGTTTGGCAAGTCCTCTTCGATTTCATAGTCATCTAAAGCCTGAAAATACCATCAGAAACAGAAACAACAGAGAAAAAAAAACACGTTGAGTATGAGTACAAAAAATGGGCATACCAAACATCGAATACAACGAAGAAAAAAAAATGGGAAAAAACGCAAAACGAAAAAAATTGAAAATTAAAAACTGAAATAAATATAACCACCCCGAATGACTCACACCACACAACATCACTGTTATTGGCATGTACATTGGTTTTGCTTCGGCCAGCAGTTGAATATTTTTTCCGCATTGAACACAACAAGAGAAAGAGACTACGTGATATATTGTTCGATTGATTTATAGTGCTCATATTGGTATTTGTTTTGATGAAACAATACAAGTGTCTCCCCTAAAACTGGGGCCACTTTACAGGCACTCTCACTCTCTCTCTTTTCTTCTATCTCTGTCTTGCCTCGCAATAATATTCAGCTTTTCGTTTTGCATTTTTCTTTCGTTCTTTCATGCTTCTCTTTGCCATTTCTATTTGGAATTTAGTAACTACATATGCATTTATTTTTGAATAGCGACAGTTTTTCCAACGCGATTTCTGTAAAACTGTAAAATTGTAAAAATCGTCCATAATTAATAACGCTTACTCGTTTGACCATTCGAGCTGGCAATGTTCACGAGTGTGTGATATGTGTGTACTTGTGTGCGTGTGTGTGGGTATGTGTGTATGCGTCGGGATTTGCGAGAGCGAATTCATTTGTGCGGAATATCAATTAATCGGATTTGGCTGCATATTTTCGTTTGATATGTTGATGGAGTTGGGAGAAAATTTCGTTGGACATGGATACATAATTGATAGGAGTCGCGCTGTTTCGATTCATAAATGTGCTCTTTACCTGCACCAGCCGAAAGGAGGTTTGCCTGTTTCTCTTTCACCCTCACTCTTGTGCTCGCTCATTCAGTCATTCGCGAAGGACAAACGGAATGGATGGACGACCGAACGAACAGCGACCGAAATGAAAAGGGATATGATGATGGAAAGGTGAACAGCAGAACTAATACTGAAATGTCTGATGCTGATGCTGTTTGCTATTCTGCATGGATTGTGAACCTATCAAATCAGTCGCGTAAAGATATCGATTGAATATACCAAATAACCGAACACAATATAACAACGAAAACAAATGAATGTCCAGTGGAAGTGGAAAGCGAAAAAAAAAAAGAATCCAGTGAGCGAGAGAAGAGAGAAGAAAAAAAAACGCCGGACAGGGACAAGACTAGCATAAAAACGTCATGAATACGTCCAGCAGGGAGAGCGAGTAAGCGACAGCACAAGAATGAAAGGATGAAGTGATGGGTAAAAAACGCGATCGCAAGTGCTGGGAATATTATCCATTTTCAATATATATCATCTCTCTACAATGTTTGAAATTGCATACGGTAGTTATGATGTTGTCTGTTTTCGTTTTTCATTTCTCTTTTCCATTTTTATCATCGTTTAATAATGGATTCATCGCGTACCGCCCCCCTCATTCCAATTCGCGAGCACGTTCGATTCTTTCATTGACCGAAAATAAAAAGAAGAATCACCAGCAACAACAACACCACCATCAGAGCAGTAGCAATAGCGAACGAGCGAGTGAGAGAGAGAGAGAGAAAAAAAACGGAAAAATCATAACAAAAAATAGATGCAAAAATAAAAGAAGTGTACTGAGGCGCATACAGTGAAATGCAGGGAAAAAAATCCGTCCATAGAATAAAAATGGCAGCAGCAGCAATAACGAACCAAATATGAATTGAATAGAGAACCATCATCGGTGGCGGCAGCAGGAAGAAGATACAACGAACACAAATCGAACAAAAAATAAAATAGAAAAAAAACGACAACGACGACGATGAAATAGGAATGAAAAAAAAACACACAGCAGCAGCAGCAATGAGGAATACACTCTGTGTGGAGCCTGGACTATTGCACATACAAAGTGAGTGTATGTACCGAGGATAGGAACAAGCTGAAAAAAGTAAACAAAAATCACCACACAATCGCAAACAAAACTTTGACAAGAAAATCAATAATCATTTTTTGTGTGCGGCTCAACCCATTTCGTCGTCAGTCGTATTTTTCTGCATCCCTTTTTTGATGGTTATACTGTTGTTGTTGTTGTTGGTATTGTTGTTGTTTTTGTTGCTACTGTAATGCTGATGCCATTGCTGTGCTCTACTCCTGCTACAGTTCAGGTTGCTGGCTCAAATTTTTCTCGTTGGTGTGTTTTTTTTTTCATTCTGTTCCCGTGCACACGTTTGTGTGTGCTGTTTTTTTTTTCATTTCGCTTCTCTGTGCTGCTCGTCGTGTATTTTTTTTTGCTGCCGTACTCTTCTCTTCTGTATGCTGTATTTTTTTGCGCGCATTTTGTGATTTCAGTTCGTCGAATAGTGGCATCGCCTGCTACACACCATCACCGTCATCGTGACCATCGCCACCATCGAAATCAATGTGTATGCGTTTTTTCGAGGTAGCTCACTTCAGCCACTCGCTATGCACAATCACACACAGACAGAAAGCGCGAGATTGGCGAATCCGTGAATCGGATCACCGTACACTGTGCGAGTTGATTTGCCTGCACCATACTCGTCTTTTTTTTATTTATTTATTTTTTTCGTTGCTTTTTTTCTCATATAAATTTGTACATTTTGTTGTTGCTGGTTGCTCTCGATGTTACATGTATAAATCTGGTTGCGCTGCGCTATACTATATATTATTATTAATTCCACGATTTTTTTTTATATTCTACATACCACGCTCACGCTCTCGTCTTTGCAAAGCAAATTTTATTTTGCCCTCTCCGCATTTTTTTTTTACTTTTGTCATTTTTTATTTATTCCAATTTTTTTTCTCGCACACACATTTTATTTGCATGAAATGCATTTATCCGTTCGTTCATGGTTTGGTTGTTTTTTTCTCTCTCGTTCTCTGCGCCAGCGTATATTTTTTTCTCTCGCGAACTCTTCATTATTTTTTTTTTTCGCTTTCGCGTTTGCCTGCATGCAACTCCACTAATGGAAAAGATTAACAACGAAAAAAAAAAACAAATTTCGGCTTTTTTCCCCGATGCGAAAATTGATGATGCAGAGATGCAATGAATTGAACGGTTTACAATGACAACGGAAGAAGACGACCACGACTACTGATTGACGGCACCAAAATATCAAAACAAACAAGCCGCCACAAAACTAAGAAAGCATGCCGTCTTCAGAAGTGACAGTACACACATAGACAGAAAACGACGACAACGACGTGTAAGAGAGCATATACGGAGCGAACGAAACGAAACGGAACGAAACGTACGTACCGAAAACACACGGAGAGTGTGTGTATTTGGGCGACTTTACTTGACTTGACGGCTTGAATGAGGAAAATACACAACGAGAGAACACCATACACAAGGAGCAACACATAACCTAAGATGTTCGCTGGCCCGATGCTCGTTCATGTGTTCACGCCGAGAGCGCACCAAGTAACTCAGTGCGAGCTGTGAGGAGAGAGAACCGCGCGTACATAACGACGACGACGTATTTCCATGGTGTATGCATATTTACTTAGCAACATTTGAAGCCGTTCTCCGTGAGGAGAGAGAGAAAGAGAGCTACGTGTGTAATCTTCCACATGGTGTCTTGTCAACAACAAAACCTACATAATAATATTATGAGCACACTGGCAAAACTGACGACGACGACGTAGTCGCCGTCGTTGTCGTCGTCGTCGTCGTTCTTTCCATCCACATTCGGAATACGGCAAAATATGCAATGTGACCAGTGTTTGCATCTTGAAATTTTGAATTTTCAAACCTCGCAAACCGATTTTTCCGATGCTCTTTTGATCAATGTCGATCAGAAAATTTTCAACCTCTCACAAACGATGTAGCGAAAAAAAATATGTCCGATTTGATTTTCTATCATCTTGAATTCGAAATGCCAATCCTTGTAAAAATCGCGGAAAAAAAACCAGTCGATGCGAGGCGCATGTAAAAAAAATGTGTCGAAACTCGAAACCGAACACGAAAAAAATCTCTACAGCAAAAATGCGAATCTATCTCAAATGAATTTGTGGTGTGGAATCGAGCAAGAAAAAATAAAACGATAAAAACTAGCAGAAAATTCTCGAATTTCCATCAAATATATTTACCTGAACCATTTTTTATGCGTTCCTTTCGAGCCTTCGCCAGCAAATATTGTTTAAGTTTTTTTTTTTGTTTCGCGTTCACCTCTTATACGATTACTGTCACCAAAACAATATATATAAAAAAAAACTTGGAAATTTATCTAATTCATAACTAGGATTGTTTTAACGAAAATACAAAATGCACTGTACACTGTATTGTGTTCTGGTTCGTTTGATGCAATTGTAAAGAATGAGAGTCTATGTGAGAAAAATTTTGTATTGGGATGAAAAATTATAAGAACTCAACAATGTTGCACCTATTCTCACCGCACTATTCTATGGGTTTGAATATTACTAATGAAATGAATATCTGTACTTTTTTCCATGGCGTTTCGGCGTTTCGCGAGTTCCATTCTTTTATTGTATTAATATACGTGTGTTTGTGTGTATATCATTCATTCTCGTTTTCTCTCTTTCGTCTATATTGGGCTTGGAAGCCCCGCGCGCGCGATTGTTGTTGCCATCGTGCATATGTATTTATCGTTGCGATTGTTGTCAGTGTGTGCGTGTCAGCGAGCAACATTTTTTTCCAATCGCACACATTTTTTTCCGTGGATTTGTTACATATGTTGTAGTGACTGTATATATATCATACGTGATTTTAGCAGAGATTCGGGCCACACGACTGCTATGCTACTATGAGTGCATCGCTCACTTTTTTCCACTATGAACTTTGAATGTCTACTGATAAAATTACTTTTGAATGAATGGATTTTAGAATTAAAATCACTTTGAATGCTTCAAAAATATTTCGATTTGAAATCACAATTGCGATTTATTCTAAAATGTGCTTCTTTTACAGATGCTAAAATTCATTCCGCAAGGTTGGTAACTCATCACTTGACAGCGTCATGAAGTGTCAAATGTATGCTTTAAAACGTTTGCGAAACGTCAAACAGTCAATTTGCATTGGACTATGGAAAATTTATGTTTATAAAATTTGTTAGTGATTTATCTCTTTCACCTGTATTTATATATACTTAGATTGAATGTGACGAACTGTGAAAATTGGCGAAAATGTCTGACACAGAGTATGAGAAATTTGAGATAAACGATTATGATTTGGAGAATGAGTTTAATCCATTTCGAACCGGTCGAAAGCGACCGACGAAAAATCAACAAATTTATGGCATTTGGGCTGATGATGATAGCGATGATGAGGGCAGTCAAAGCACATCAAAAGGTCGAAATCGTGGCGATACACGAAGAGGAAAAGATTATACGGCGCCCATCGGTTTTGTTGCCGGCGGAATTCAACAGTCGGGAAAGAAAAAGGAGGAAGAAACCAAGAAATCAGATGAAGGTAAGTGTAAAATAACGTTTTTATTCGGTGTGAATCAACAATTCTATCCGGTGAACACTAAATTAATGGGAATAACGAGTGTTGAAAATTGTGTATGAATTTTACAAATTCTGAGTGTATTTTGATTGAAAATCGTGTTTTGTTTACAGAAAAAGCAGATGGAGCAGACGGTAGTAACACATCAAGTGAATCCGATGGTGAAGCAAGACCAACAATGTCATTTAGAGGCAAAGGTGGTAAGGGAGGCAAGCAAAATCAAGCGGGTTTCCAGTTCACGTCAAACTCAATGCCAAATAGAGGCTTGGGCAATTGGGAGCAACACACGCGTGGTATTGGAGCCAAATTGCTGCTTCAAATGGGTTATGAGCCTGGCAAAGGTTTAGGAAAAGATTTACAAGGTATATCACAGCCAGTGCAAGCACATTTGCGTAAAGGACGCGGAGCAATCGGTGCGTATGGCACTGAACACGGTCAAACGATCGGTGATGCCAAATCAAATAAACCCAAAGTGGATGAGGATGAAAAAGAAGAAAAAGATTTCAAAGAAAAAATGGAGCAGTGGCGTAAAGGACCAACTGATTCAAAGTCGAAAAAGAAACGCTACTACAAAAGTGTGGAGGATATTATTGAGAAAGGGAAAAAAAAGAATTACATACTTTCGGATAAGTTGAGGTAATTTTTGATCAAATTTATTTCTTTTTTTTCTGCTTATTATTTCCTCATCAACTCTGCTTTGTTCCAAAAAACTGTGATTTCGAAGCATTTTCTTATATTTCATTAAATTTGAATTTGAATTTGAATTTCATTCTTCTCTTCTTTCTAGCACAAAAATGAGCAATGTAACCGTCATCGATATGACTGGGCCAGAAAAGCGTATATTAAGCGGCTATCATGCGCTGGGTCAAGCAAAAATGAGTGAAGAAAATCTGTACAAACAGCGGCCAGCAAAGGAGTGTGTCAACTTTGACTTGCCCGAACTAACCCATAATCTCGATCTCATTTTGGATATGTGTGAGCAGGAAATCATTCAAATTGATAAAAATAAGAAGGCAGCAGCTGATCGTAAGGTGGCATTGCGCCAAGACAAGGAAAGTTTGGAGAAAATTGTTAAATTGGAACAGGATCACATTGCAACGCTGAAGAATGTGACGGAGTTAGTTGAGTCATTGGCATCGCCCAAAGAACCGTTAACATTGAGTAAATCGGCGGAAATATTCACACAACTTCTCAACGAATATCCAGATGATTACAAAGAGTTTGGCTTATCGGATTTGGTGCCCGGTGTGATTGCACCTCTGTTTCAACGAGAATTGCGTGATTGGGATGTTTTGGATGCGCCTGAATATCCAGTGAAACTTCTTAAACGCTTTGAATTCCTTAACGACGATAAAAGCCAAAATAACAATATTTTCAGTCCTTATTCATCGCTGATTATGTTTGGCATCATTCCGAATATTCGGACAGCAATAGCCGAATGGAACCCACGAAATCACCAAGCCATGGCTGATCTACTCGATACTTGGGCCAAACTTTTCCCAGCCCATATACTTGATAATGTCCTCGAAAAGCAAATTCTGCCGCGAATCGTCAAGGGCGTTGAAGTATGGGATCCAACGACAGATACACTTCCAGTTCACTTTTGGGTTATTCCATGGCACAATTTGCTCGGAACGAAGATGAAAGAAAACGTTTATCCGATGATTATGGAAAAATTGAGCAAAGCACTTGTTTCATGGTTACCATCCGACCGATCGGCCAGAGCTATCATCGCACCGTGGAAAGGCGTTTTCCCAGAAACAGACTTCCAAAACTTCCTGCTCAAGAATATTATTCCGAAGTTGCAGCTTACTTTGGGTAAGTTTGGAATTGAAGATAAATTTCTTTCTCATAATTGTCATTTTAACCTTTATTTCCTTCCCTTGTTAGCGGAGATAATAATCAATCCACACCATCAAGACATGGATCAATTCAATTCAGTTTGGGAATGGCATGAGTTGATATCTACACAAGCAATGGCACAGATGCTTGGGAAATACTTCTTCCCGAAATGGATGCAGACGCTTGTCATTTGGCTCAATCAGAATCCGAATCTGGAGCAAGTTAGTAGATGGTTTTTAGGGTGGAAATCACAATTTTCAACCGCCATTTTGGAGTCAATCACTATCAAAGAACACTTCCGTCGAGCTCTTGAGTTGATGCAACGTTCGACTGGTGCTGGTCTACCGGCAAATATGCAGATGCCAACGCCAATCATTGAACCGATCGTGAGTGCGCCTCCACCACCGTCGCTAATGGATTTCAATGTTGGACCCGCACCACAGCTCGAATTCAAAGAACTCGTTTCACAGAAATGTGCCGAACGAGGAATCATCTTTGCTCCGATGCCAGGCCGCAGAGAACACGGCAAACAAGTCTATCGAGTTGGCAAACTGTTTTGTTACATTGATCGAACAGTCGTTATGTTGAGTGACGGTAGTTTTACCAATTGGATACCTGTTTCAATACCATCACTACTTGACCGAGCCGTTACCGGAGCATTTTAAATTGTAAATTCATTGGAGTAATCAGTTTTAGTTTTTTTTTTTATTTCGCAAAGAGGATTAAAAATACACATTTCGTTAATAAACATTTATAATACATAAAACAAATATATGAAGACTTTTTTCTAAAAAGATAAAATGAAGATTTCTTAAGGCACGTGTGATTTTTGGCCACCGGTTTGTTTGTTTGTGCTTGCTCGTTTTGTGTTAAAATATAAGGCAAATACTTTGTAATTAGTCCAGTTAAACACGCATCGTTTTCTGGTAAGTAAATTAGTGTGCGCAAAAATAGTTGACAGAACAACGGCTATGTGTGCTTAGCTCTTGAGTTGTGATGCCTTCTTGCTTTTGTCAATTCTTGGCGGTACTTTGCCCAAACTACCAGCATTCATCAGACGGTTGTACATTCTGGAAGTGAAAAGGCGAGACAATGAATTGATTTCATTCAATTTAACGAAATGTTGTTCTATTCATTCATTTTGATTTATATGGGTTTAGTGGTTACTCAAAACAGCATTTTTATAACTGCAAAATGGACAGTTGAAGTGACATATTGCGAAGAATCATCACTCACATTCTGTACGCTTCCGTTTTGATGTATTCAAGTACATGATTGATTCCAAGTATGTATTGTTCGGCAATTTGTGGAACCCATTCGTTCTCTTCCATTTTCAAAACTGATTTGCTGCCTTGCAAGTCAAGGAAACCTAAAATTCACACAAAACATCGATTATTGTTGAGTCGAAATGTCCTCTCAGTAAAAAGGAATTCCAAGAGAGAAATTCTCTATGAACTGAACTGGTCAAACTTACCAACTTCTGGTGGAAGAACCGTCAAACGATTGTTTTGAATATGCAATTCACGCAAACGAGTACATTCTCCGATCTCACGTGGGACATCCAACAGTTGATTGTCGCGTAGGCCCAACTAAGTTCGAATAGAAGAACGAGTTTTGTCAAAAAAAAAATCACAAATTTCTTCTGATCGTGTGATCAGATTTAATCCTTCAAACTTTTTTTCATTGAAATTCAAACTTGACATTTGCTCTTTTTCCGTTTTTACTCACAATTTGCAAATTCTTCAAGTTTCCGAGGCCTGGAGGGATGTGCTCAAATTCATTGTCTCCCAAGTACAAAGCGCGAAGAGTTTCTGCAAGCGAAAATGATAAGTGATGCAACAAATAACAATTTTCAAGCAAAACAAAATGTTCTAATTCTCTTGGAGGTTCATCCCTCAATCAAGCGTTTGATCATTCATTCAAGTTCTAAAAGTGAAGAATCTATGGAAAATCGCGAAAAAAATGATTATCCTTTAATTACCCATCATGAAAAAGTTTCCGGGTAATGCATTTTCGTCCAAATTATTGTATGACAAATCGAGTAATTCGAGCACTGGGAAGGCACCAAAACCGCGAGGCAATGAACTGAGACGGTTGATGGACAAGTTCAAAATACGAAGTTTTGGCATTGACGAAATCGAAACTGGGAGCTCTTCGATATGATTGTTGGTCAAATTCAAAATCTCCAAATTCGTCAAATTGGCAATGCCAGGCGGGATTGCTGCAGAAAATGAATCACAATTAGTTTGGTTCTTCTTATCATCAAACAACCGATATGTTTGATATGATTTCACTGGGATCAAACTTACATGCGATGCGATTATGACTCAATGTCACTCTGGTCACATTCAGCATATTCACTGGAATAAAACATAAATGACGTAAATGTTAAAAATAGTCCAAGTATTTGGTATTAGTTCGGATGAGAATTCAACTGCAAAACATTGATTTTGGCCATTCAACACACTGGGAATTGGCATTCAAATGACACAAGCAGCGCCCACAGTGCACAGAAAACAACTCAATGATTTTATGCCCAAATATGGAAATTTGGTGCATAGCGAACATATTTCTGATGAACTTACACAGGCCTGGCATTTCATCGAAGGAAATTACATTTTTGTCAACCAAATCTAATTCGCGAGAACGAGCTTCGCGTGCTTCGTCGAGTGCTTTTTTCACTTTCGACATTTTACTGTTCATAGGTAAACAAGATACTGGCCCTTGATTCATTGTTATTATTGTTTTTTTCACTCCAGTTGCTCGAATAATTCGATTATCACGAAAACACTATGATGGTATTTGCAAATGACACCTATACACAAGAATCCATCACATATGAAATTTGACAGATTACGAGAAATGGTCGCATTCCATGCTGTTCGACGTATTGAACGCACTTTTCATTATTTGCGAGAGGTACTTAAGAAAACTGAATTTGATTTCTTTTGCAAGAAATTTTAAATTAAAATATTTGAAATTATAATATAAATTAAATTGAAATTCGCTTCATTTTTACGAAATGAATTGAATTAAAATTTAAATGCGAAAAACGAACGTTTTTCGAATCCAAAATACTTAAAGTTCAACAATTCAAAGTGAATAGCATGCTCATCAAAGTGGATATACACAAAATACCATTTGTGAGTGTGTTTGTGTTTGTGTAAATAAATGGCTGGTTTAGTTGGTTGAGTCAACATCAACATTCGAATGTGCAATGTGCGGTCGGTCTTTTCTTGCCTAAGATTTTTCGTGGATGCCAAGCGTTTGCCGTCTCGTTCTCAATGTTTCAAGCATTTTGTTCTAATTCAACTACAGACGCATCACGTACGTGCGTACGTGTGTGTATGTGCATTGAAACGTATCGCTCTCTGTCACTTTCTCAGTAAAATCATATTAAAACGCTGTATATGCGACGACGACGACGAATAACGAAGTCTATCCAATTCAGTGTCTATTCGTCTCGTTTTCACTCATTGATTGTTTGGTCGTGCTGTCGGTCGTACAATTCGGCTGTTGTTTCAGTGTTTTTCTTTCCTTTTCATGTGTGTATTGTGTGTGTGTGTGTGTGTGTATGTATATCACATCGCATATATACAAAAATGTACATTGTGAGTGGCATAATGAATTAAAGAAATCTAGAGACCAGTTCAGAAATATAAGAGTGAGAGAAAAATAAAATATATATCCCGAATACACACAGAATAACCGAAGAGATTGTATTTATATTTTTCGTTTGTTGAGTGTGCATTTTAGTTTTTTGTTGGCGTTGGCTTCTTTAGTCGGACTTAGAGTGGAAGCATTTACATTTTGGTTAGATTTCGAATCGAATTCAATATGGTGCATAAATAAATTTTATTTTTTTTTTCGTTTCTATGTTTCGTTTTCTATACTTCTCTTGACTTGCCAACCAGAGAAACAAAGAACTTAAAAAAAAACCATTGAAGGCAAATTAATGTGAGTGAGTGTGTCTTCGGGAACAGATTAGTCTGCATGGATATTACTTGCAATGAAAAAATGAACACACAAAGAAAAATACTCGATTTAATTAGTGTGCATAGTGTTTAGTTGGTATCGCGGGTGCTATTTTTGGTTGAAGATGTTTGTTTGACTGCAATTAATTGACAGAATTACGACGAAGAGGAGGAGAAGAAGTGAAAAGAAAATAACAACAAATCAAATACCATCGACATCGAAAACGAGTACGTGAATCATCTTGAATTGGATACATAATTGATTCCAGAGCATGAAAAAATACCCATCCATGACATATGCAAAACATAAAACATGGTGAATACTCTTACTTTATTCTGCATGCGATATTTTTTTTTACTCCTCTCTTGTTTCTCTCGTTTTCTTTGTAGCTCATAAGAATTTTTGTTTTTGGGTTAGAATGGTGCCAAAAGTTTTGTGGTGTTTTGTTCTTTGTTTATTATGGAGAACTGTGATTTGGGTATAGCCAAAGACGAAAAGGAAAAAAAAGAAGAAGTTTATTTTGTTAGAATGAAAATCAATTTATGCACTCTGTGTGGTAAGCAGAAAACAAGTACACGACATAGTACATACTATATGATTCTCTACGAGAAACTCTCTCTCCCTCTCGCTGTATGTGAAACACAAAACACATTCTTCTTCACTTGATTTATTTATTGTGGAACTTTCGAAAGAAGAAAAAAAAAGCAAGAAAAAAAAAATCTTTTTTGGCTTCGTCGTTTCTGTTGCTGCTATTGGCACCTAATATAGGCCAAGCTTCGCGAAAATTGAATAAGGTTAAGCCATTGTAAGACCGAAAAAAACAATAGCAATGCAAAACATGTGCCCCGGATCTTGGGCTTCTTTCTCCAAAACACGAAAACAAATTTTTAAATGGCAAATCGCCTTTGTTATGCGAAACAAATTTTCGTTGTTTTTTACTGTGGCTGTGGCTGCGGCTGCTCTTGCTGCAGAAGGTTGTACAGCTAATGTGCGTTTATTTTTCGACAACCAATGATGATGGTTTTATGTAATGAGGCTTCGACGCTTCGTAAATGAACTATTTTTGCATTGGAACAAACGATTTTTGCACTAATAATTACGAGAAAAAGGTAACACAGACATCGAGCTCACGGAGCCAAGAGCGAACCAGAACGACCGAACGTGAACAAACATGAACATACAAAAATGAAGAGAGAAAAAAAAGCAACACGACCATCAGTAAAACCACAAAAACATTTACCAGTTCCATGGAAAACGGCATCAGCCGTGACGATTTTATGAGGGATTGAGCAACAAATGATGTTGTCATTGCACTCGGTGATTTTTCTTATTTCGACATTTTCACTCGTTTTTCTCTATACGTTGTGTACACACAGACACACATCTCTGCACGGATTCCGAAAGACATGAACAGAAAAACACAGATGAATCTCTTCATTCTTTACATGGAAGCTGACTAGCTCTACCATTCGCTTGTTGGTACTTTGTATTATCGTTGATGAATCGTGCATTTCCCACATTTAATTCGATTTGTTTTCCTTTTTTTCTGTGCTTCGCTTTTTTTCTTCATTCATTTTGTCTCTATGCGATTATATTCCGATTCGTTTACAATGCGCGCGTTCATGTGTCAGATTGTGAACTTGCTTCGATTCCATTGTTTGAAAAAATACAGAAAGAAAGAAAAGAAACACATTGAACATTCTTCAATTTGCAGCATATTCTTATCGAAAAAAAAACAACAACAACAACGATGATGATGCCGAGATATTATAAAATAATCATTGCGTTTGCACATGTTGATGACGAGTGTGTGTTATAGAATCATACATTAACAGCACTTGCCTGCACTCAAAATGGTATGCTTAAATGAAATTATTATTTAAATTCCATAACGTAACACATTTCAATTAGACAGACGGGTGTAAAAAGTAGCTGTACAATTCAGCTCGGCAAGCGACACATTGTGGCAATTTTCTCGGTTCGCATGAACTCTACTTCAGCTGCTACGACATTCGTCAGTGACACTAGAAAAATGAGACCATGAGACATTTTCACTTTTTCTTCGGTATTTGCTGCGACCAATTTGTCGTTACATTTGCTGTCGGCCAAATTGGTTATATCAAGTGGCTTTTTGCGGTTGATGCTGCGTTTTTTCACGGTGTCTACACCTGTAACAAGGAATTCGTCAGCGTTTCACTTCAATTCCATTAAATTCTTTGCCACTAGACGTGATTTTCATTCCACACACACCGAAAATAAAAAAACATTCCGAACAAAAAGCATTTCTCCGAATTTTTGTTACAGAATCTCTGGCCACTCAGAATTTCAATCATTTCATTTCCGCATTTCAAGTGGTTCGAATTGTTTTTTCCTTATTTTCGCTTTCGGTCAACTCTTTCTACGTTGATAAACTTTTTTTTATCATTGTTCAACATAAACGAATTGCGTCTATTTTGTTTTTGTTATCTCCACAATAAGGATAAAAAAAAGCATAATATTTTTTTCATTCGCTACACTCATTTTGAATACGTGCTTATCTGAAATCCGCAAAGCTTCACTCTTTGCTATAGTTGCAATTAAAGTTGTTGAAAAATAAAGCGAAAAAAAAACAGCAGAATAAATACCGAGAGAGAGAGAGAGAGAGAGAGAGAGAGAGAGGGAGAAAGAGTCGCAATTCAGAATAAACATGTCCTCTTTATTCGAAGCAGACGTGCTTCAACGAGTAATGGTCACCCATTACTATGATTATTGTTATTATTCTCTACTGTTTCGCACAGCATATTGTTGTTTATTTATTCATATTTTTTATATCCCTCTCACTCGTCTACATTCACACATAAACGGTTAAAAATGGCTTTAAATTTTCTTGCACCATTTCCATTTTTTGATTGTGTTGAAGCGCTATTAATTGCCTTGACGACCGATCATCAGCTCATCGTGGAAAAACTGTTGTTGTGAACCGAATTGTTCATTCCGAAACCGAAAATGTTGTTACTTTACATTGAACAATCAAAATTTGCTTGAAATACATGTACAACAAACTTGAAAACAAAAGCCATGATGATATTGTCAAAAAAAAAGGCGTTACAATTCGTCGGTCACAATAGCTAACGGCATTTTAATTGGAAAGAAATACAATAATAACCGGGAAAGAGAGAGAGAGAGAGATCGAGGAGAAAAAAGAGCAATTGAACTGAATTGTTGGCGTAAAAAATATGGGAACTCTCGTTTTAATTAAAACAAATATAACGATTTAAAAATCCATTGAAATGTGAATAAAAGCGAACGAAATTTACCGGCTTCGTGGCAAATTTTTATAATGACGGATATTATTCTGATTTATTTTTTATTCATTCATTCGGCGACAACACTTCCGCGCGCAAACAAAGAAGTGAACCGAACGACAGAGAGAGAGAGAGAGAGAGAGAGAGGAAAAATATCGAATCAAATGTAGCATGTCCCTCGATGGACAAACACATGGTATCATAGCTAACAACAATATTGGCAAGTAAACACCAATATACACGAGCACTCAGAGCATAAATTGTCTCTTTCATACGCACAACAAACGCACAATGAACAAAAAACCAGCCAAATGACTAATCGAATAATTAATTTATGATTCTTGCATGTGTTACAAGTTCATTGACATACACAATAACGACATGATCGATGGTGGAGTTGTGTGCGTTGTGCGCCGCGCGCAGCGCACACAATATTGTCGTTAGATAGAGAGCACACACAGAGCACATAAACTCACTCACTCTCTCTCGTTCGCCGCTTTAAAATAACAATCGCTCAAATCGTGTCGCATTTATAAATTTAAGCAGCATGTGCATTGAGCTGTTGAATATATGTA